CTCTGTAACACAGTGGCCTCTTGGGGCTCAGGAGAGTAGTATCCAATGGTATGAGAAGGAAGGGGTCACCATCTACGGGCTTGGGGACAATGTTGCCCAGAACCAGTTATTCAGCTTTGCCTTTCTGATATGAATTCCCTTTGTAAATCCTTAAATTTTTAGAAAAGTCATGTTTGACATTACAGCATAGACGTAGTTGTGCTTTGAGGAATTCAGGGAGAAATGGGGTTGTATGGGTTAGCACTCTGGGGCCTCAACAAATTAGCAGGGTAATGACAGTAGGTTATGCAAGCCTGAATTTCCAGGTCTAGCCCAGAGAAGCTCTTTACTATTTGCTAGATAACTGGATTTAATTTAGAACAGAAACCTCCAGATAATGTTTATCCATGGCCACTGGTTTGCTCAGGCACTGGCTGAACCATGCTGTTCTCTTGTTTGGGCAAAATACCAAGTCTGACATGTTCATTTTTCTATCAATAGGTTTAGTAGTTCAGCTATCTGAAAATACTGCTCTCACTTTAACAAAAAGTTAAAATATTTTAAATAAAGTAACCTTTTGTGTAACTTGAGTTCTGACTGTGGCCCAGCACATGGCAGAACCTTGTTCAAAACAGCCGACACTTGAGAAAGGCAGTCCAATGCAATGGACTTGTTGACTAGTCACTCATCTGAAACACACATGCCAGCTTCTGCCAGACACCATCAGAACACCACAAAGGCCAAGGACCTGGACCACAGTCTCCTTGGCTCCCTGGGCAAGGAGCCTTCACAGACAGAGATTTAGTGTCAACAGGCAGTATGGAGCAGTAGGAACTGAGTCTTTTGAAGTGTAGTGACTGAAGATATTATCAACTATGAAAACTCACTGTTCTTAACAGAAGGATTCACATGACAAAAAACATATTTGAATTATTACGTACATACACAAAATTGTCTCTATAGATAATTATAAGATCTCGTTTGTCAAAAAATGGAAACTGTATAACTTGTGCTTTCCTTTCCACTGCATACCTCAAAGCCCTTAAGGCCTAACTTTATTCTCTAGTTATGTTCACTGGTTTGTTTATTCAATATTTACTTTTTCTGTTTCATCCTTACACGTCTTCCTTTGTGTATTAGTCTGTAGTGCACCTGAAATCCTTTTGAAAACAATTGAGACTTAGCACTCAAACACATAAATCCCTCATCCTTTCAGAGCTCAAAACCAAAAAGTACTAAATAACAAGGCCAATAAAAGGATATTTTATTCAATTGTCTTCCCCAAATGGGAAGCTGAATAATAGACAAGAGAAAGGCCAGTGACAAACGTGAAGATTAAGTTAGGTGGTCCATTATATTTGAAGAAAATTGCTTCACCAGCAAAGTATTAACCTATTTTCTTCAATTAATACAAGGAACTTTGCAGGCATCCACAGAATACAATCAGGCCCTTAGTTACTCCAGGTCATAATGCTCTTACTGGAATGATCACCAGGAGCAGCTCTGGTGTGTCTTTCATTGTCTTGTCCAAGAGAGTCAGAGTGATTTGCTGGGAGAGCAAGGGTCACCCATAAATTCTACAGTGTCAACACCTCAGCAGACTCAATTCAAAGAATGAGGAATGTGGATGTGGCAGGGCAGCCTTCAGTAGCTACTCCCTGCTGTAGACCCGTGAGGCTGAGCAGGTCTTCAGGGAGAATCCAAAATGAAATATTTAAGATGTCAGAATATTTCACATAGACATTGCAAAATTAGACCATACAAAAGTCAAAACTGACAACATAATAAAAACCTAAGGAAAGGTGCTAATAACACAGGGAAATATGCTGTAAATCAATTACCATAATTGCAACTTGGGGGTATAAATCGCCACTAGCTAGGATCTGCTTTATGGTTGCATAAATTAGCTAGCCCTGCAGAGATGCATAGGAAGCAATCCATTCTACTGTGCACTCCCTGTAGGCACCCTGCGTTTGTTTCTGCCTTGGCTGGGCTTTGGAAATGCACATCTACTACTCGCAGGAAACCACACCAGTAAGTTTTTCTTGCTCCTGTTCCCCAGCTCTCTTTGCTAGCAGGTCGCCATTCTCTAGGTCACATCCTCAGCCCACTAAGAACTAGATGACTGTATCTGCCTTTCTTTAAGGATTTGTCACAGCCAGGAAACAGAAATCACAGCCCCCTAAGACAAAGGTGGCTCCTGTTGTTTTTTTAAAGTTACCTCTAATCATCTAATCAATATCTCAATCTAAACCTGGTTCCTGAAACATAAGATTTATGGTGATGATTTGTAGCTAGTTTTTAAGCAAACATGGCTTAATGATCCTTCCTTTACTGTTCTGGCCAGGTAAAATCTGGTCCTAACTGTGTTCCAGGGCATCTTTGAACTGCCATTTTGGCTATATTCCTGACCTGGGAAGACCCCACTGAAGTTGGGAAGGGAGAGGCCTCTTTGGTACAGGAGCATAGATGCAGGATTGTTATATAATGGAATTACTAGAGATTTGGAACATAAAATGGGTTTCTTGGGCAATTAGCAGTTGTCTCAGGTTAAGCACTTAATGAAGACCAGTTCTTTTCAGATACCCTGCAGCAAGTCATCAGTCACCACCAGCTGCAGGGGGAAATGCAGGTTGCCGTGTGTAAGTGTGGGTAAAACAGCAATAATTCCAGAATCTCTCACCTGGTCTTAGTGCATCTCCGTATCAAAAGGTGTTTATAAGGGGTGGAAAGAAGTAGTCCATCTTTATATCAATAGGTGATTATAAGGGTGAGGTTGGCTGGGGTCCCTTTTTCTGCAGCAGGGTGGTGACAGACATGGAAGAGCAGAAGTGGACGACCGCTTATAAGAAATAAATGGCTTTCTCCCACTTTATTTCTCCCTTTGACTTCAGTTTCAAAAGTATTTTTTCCTGGGATTTTCTCCCAGAGTTACCATAAGCTACAGCACAGGCCTCCTATAAAGTGATTAAATGTCACCACAGCCTTCAGCTCAGGATGCTAGTAGGTCTCATTAATTAGGAATTGTTGGAGGAAATGCTCTTGAGGAAAAGTCTGAATTTTAACATATTTAAACATGAGTATAATATTACTATTTTAAATCATATATGGTAACTCAGATAAGGTTAACGACATGGGTTTGTGGTCGCCACTGATCTTTAATAGATAAATCAGCATCACTACAATCACCATAGTCATTGTTTTAATGTAAATGCATGCCTCAGAATTGCTTGAAGGAATCTGAAAATACTATAATTTGTCCACTTAAATTGCTTCAACCCAATCTTTTTGTTTTTCAGCATCAGGAAATTTCTGAACAATGGCACAAACTTCAAACACTACCCTGACATGAATTTTCCAAATGCCCTAATTTAGAAGACGTGACTTAATGAGGTTCTTATTATATTATAAATTACAGAAAGAAAACCAGAAAACTGCATCTTAAAGACAAGAACTTCAGTTTTAACACTGACATGCCCTGTTTATACTTGACTTAAAGAAGTGCTTAACTTTGTCCTTGAAAATACCAAACTAGGCCTCTGCTCTGCCCTGTCACTGAATTCTAAGGATGCAATTAATGCAGTAAGAGCAAAGCTCTAGTGTGACATGAGCTGACTGGCATTCTTGAGACATTTAAACCGAAAAAGGCTTTTAGCAAGCTGATGACAATAGGGTATGAAATAGCTTTTATATGAGTACAATCTCAGTTTTTATTAATTTTATAGAACTAATGAATTATTAGAAGGTAGTGAAAAATGAGCCCCTAAAGTTACCTAAGGAAGACATAATACTGGAGTGGTTAAGAGCTGGAGGACTGAAATCCTGCCTTTTTAAATTTGCTAGCTCTGTGATCCTGGACCAGCTACTTCTTATTTCTACACCTTGGTTTCCTTTTGGGTAAAACAGGGATAAATAACACTTTTCTTGACAGAAGAATAAACGAGCTAAAAATGCTTAGCCTGCTATGGGCCACCTAGTAACTACTTCACAGATGGGTCACTTTTCCTGCTACTGCTAGTACTAGTATTATGCCCTATCACCTTACATGATCTAGTCCTGTTTTCATCTACAAAAAGTTAGGTTTAGCAAAAATAATGCTTCAAATGCTATGTCTAAAGCCCAGTGCTGAGGCTACCACTGCTCCTGCTCTGTGAGGCTGAGTGCTCAGTGCTTCACACACACCCTCTCTCTGAATTCTCAAGTGACCCAGCGAGGCAGGTATTATTTCATTACTATTTAATTTCACAATTCACATCATTTCACCTCATGAAGGAGGAAACTGATAGGCACAGAAAGAAAAGTTAAGGCCAACATTTGAACCCAGGGAGTGTAAATCCCAAGTGCACACACTTTTTAGCTACTCCTCTGCTCAGCTTCCTACTTCATTTCTACTTCTGATGACGATGTTCCTGATGAACAAGCCAAGCAATAGACTGGTTTTTACATTCAGAGCAGTACTCAGAGACTCTGGACGTCTGAGTTGCTGTCCAATGGTCTACATGATACCGTAATTCCTTTCTTCATGAATATGACCTTACTCAGGTTATAGACTCTAATGCTCATTAGGAAAGGCTGTAAGGACAGAGAATAAATGCAAAAGATGGTCTCTATTATTTGGGTTCTGAAGTTTGGGCCTCATCCAGATATTCTAGCACATTCCCACCTGTAAGGTCAAGACCCTGCTGTCTAGAGCGCCATTAGCGCAATCTGACCCACTTCCAGCAGTCTCAGAAATTTCAATTTGGGGAACAGTTTGTAGTTTTCAGTCATGATTACTTAAATATATAAGTGAATATATAGAAGATGCAATTACCCTGATCGTGGGTTACTTTTTCTACTAGGAAACAGGCACACCTATAGAAAAGCAAGAAAACGCACTCAGATAAGGACCAAAGCCACAGCCTTCACCAACAGAAGGCCCCTTGGAGGTCACTGGTCTCAGCCTCCTCCTCATGCTGGGAAAGGAGGGCTAGGAATCATTTGCAATGCTTTACAGGCATGCCCGATGGCAGCGCTCTTACCCTTGCAGTGAAGTCCACAGCAGCCGCTCGGTTTAACAGCAACGTGGCTACATTGATATTTCCATAGTGAGCAGCTATGTGGAGCGGAGTGAAGCCACTCTGTAAAGAAAACACAGCAGATGTTCAACTGATTCCTGCTGGCCCCTTGTCTGACATGTTAATACCATGAGCCTGCCCAAATACAAATGAGGAAGCAAAATATGCTGAGGTCCACATTCCATTCTGTACTAGGTTTCTTTCAATTAGTGCCAATTGCTCATAGGGTTTCAAATAAATGCCAAACTCACAGGCAGAAGAATAGCCAGGAAGGAAACAAGGGTGGAGATTGAACAATTTTAGTAATCCAGTAGCAGAACTATACAGAAGCCAACATTGCCAAAAGTTAAAATAGGAATGATAAGAAAAATCTTTGTAGCTCATAGAAACTTCTATTAGCACCACTGTTTCATTATTGATGACAGACTTGCCCATTAAAACTCTGTCAAAATTCAATTAGTTTTAAATATTCAATATAGAGTAAAATTAACAGCAGTAAATGCCAATTTTAATGACAAAAGCAATTTTGGGGGAAGAGGTACTACTATAATTGGTCTTGTGTAATGGGTGATTGCATCCTGTAAAGAATCCCCAAGTTCATCTCTTTATCAGCAGATGTCTATTCGGTAACACATTTTTCTGGATTATTCGTGCCAAGGTCATTTTACTTCCTTAGAAAAATGCTAAAACATGCAGCAATTCACTTAGTCCCCAAAGATTGAAACCTTAGGAACTAGATGCATTTCTAAGATGTTAGCAAGCTTCATTAGCCATGCTAGCTATCTCACTGACTCTAGTGGAAGGGTGGCTCATATTGGTACAGTTCTGAGGTACCTTTCCATTTTGCTGACACCACTAAGGTGAAGTGTCATGCAGAACTCTAAAGAATCAGTCCTGGATGAGTAGAATGACAGGGTTGTCTGCAGCTTTAGGTATAGGTGATAAGCATCTAAAGTACCCAAAGTCATTTCACACACACTATTGCAAAACTCTTAAGCTTCAAGGACTCCTCATTCTTCCTTTCAAACACGAGGTTCAGCTGCAGAAAGCCCTGGTAATCAAACTACTATCTTCTTTGGCACATGCTACTTTGGGGGCGGGGGGGAAAAGCAGGTATCTAGCCTACGGAAGGCAACGCAAAGAAGGAGGGAAAGAAATGAGGCGGCAGCACTAAGAAATGGGGAAATGATGATGCAGATACAGATCACATGTATTTGTATTTATATATATATATATATATACCTCTGTTGTTCTATTCACCACCATCTAGGTTAACACATTTGGAAGCAAAGAGGAGGAAAAAATGAACGGTTAGTTTGCTATTGGTGATATGGATGCAGAAAGCTCATGACAGCTAAGTAATGAGGATGACGGCTCTGATGGAAGCACAAGAGGCACAGAAAGAAAGCTAGACTGAATGAAGGGCTATACTGATCGACTATTCCAAATGCCACATTTCCTTTGCAGAGACTTTCAAGTAATACATGTCAAGACAATGGGAATTTTGGCTGGGACTCTGGCTGTTGGCACGCTCTCTGCAGCTGATCAATATTCAGTGCACTGCCTGTTGACTTAGATATCAACCAAAGGTTTATTTGTGCTCATTATTGCTAGCATTTTGTCATTTTTCACCCTGCTTGAGCTGAAGCATTAAATACATTAAAATGCATGCTAAAAGGAAGGAAACTAACTACCAGGTGCAGACACACTGATTTCTGGAGGCGGCTTCCTTGTTCACATGCATAGGGCAGCCGCGACAGGTACCCCCTAGCTTTGTATGCTAAGGGGGTTGTACCTTCAAATGGCTGACAAGGACATGTATTCTTATTCCTTCTAGTGAATTTACATGTTTGGCATATGCTTCCCAAAAGGGAGACCAGGTGTTCTTAAAATCTGGGCACCTGACATGGGACAGTCGCGTGTGGCAGTCTCACTTTCCAGGGGCGCACCTTTGATTCCACATCCGCGTTGTTGTCGTTCTGCAGCAGAAGGGCGGCAGCCTTTGTGTCGTCTTTTCGGGCGGCGATATGAAGAGCCGGAAGACGCACTTTTCCTTTAGTGTCATTTTCTAGCAGGAGTGAAACCACTTGATCATGACCTTGTTGCAAAGCTACTGCCAATGGTGTGAAGCCATCCTGCAAATAAACAGATGGGCCATGATTGGTCACAGTGGATATTATTTTTTTGATTAACAAATAATGTGACTAAGTGCCAATTTTTGTTTAGGGTTATTAAAGTTAACATATGCAGGTAGACACATATGCGAAAAGATAGTAAACGTGTGTGTGTGTGTGTGTGTGTGTGTGTATACCAAAGCAGATAGTAATAAGAAATTTGTAGTAAGTATATGTTTGTTTGTTTTTTTTCTGTTAAAAAGTGATACGTATTCACTGGGTAGATTTTGGAAATGCACAAAAGTACTACATAAAGAAGAAACAGATGCTATAATTTCAATATCCATAAAATAATCTCAGTGAAAACAATAACATTTCAGGTTAAATCCAGGAATTTTTTTCAAAGGGGCTCACTTAAATAAGCTGTACAAATTTCCACTGACTTTTGGAATTGGGAGTATACCTGTCTGGCTCATCACTGTGCCCCGTTGCCTAGCCTATGTCTGGTGCTCATTCTGTATATGTGAATTAGCGAACTATAGTCATTGCTATTTTAAGAAAGGTCTATATGAAAGACCCTTGGCTTTTCTAACCAATGAAGGGGGAAGACATAGGGATCATGCAAAATATGAGTAGAACAAATTCAGACATACACAAATATCTGTATATTTTGAGTCTTCCCATTGCAGTGCCCTGGGACTTACAGAAAAAAAATAGCAACAGACCCTTTATCTGCCTTATACAATCAAGGGAACATTTAAAAATTATTTTTTGCTAGAGAACAGGCAAGTAAATTATTTTATTTGGGTCATGGTATTTTATGCTACAGTCTTTGTGGCATAAAATTGAAGACTATTTTCAATAGAAGGGCTTTTGTAAGGGAAAATAAGAAAACTAGTTACTTGCATACCAATGTTTTGGGCTTCCTAAAAACCATTTTTATATTGTTCTTTTCCTTTCTAGAAAACAGATAAAGGCTCCTACCATTTCTTTGTATGTCAATCAACACATTTATGTGCAAATTTTGGATGCCCAAAATGCTGGCCAAAATCACAGAAGGGACAGACAATATTGCCTTGGCTCTTTCACATAAATCCTTTCCTCCAGTCTCCTTTCTAATAATTGCGGACATGTAGACTATTCCTACCCTGGCATCTATACTCATGCTATATCCCTCACCCTGAAATGTTATCCTCCTTCCTCTGCAAATACAAATTCTATCTACTCTCCATGCTTCAAAACTGGGCTAAATTCCACTTGCTTCTTTCAACTTTTCCAAGAACCAAAAGAGCAAAAGGGTGAGCATTCACAAGGCCAGAAGGACATTCCCTGCAGCCTTAAGGAGGATAACAGAAAGAATGGATACAACCAAGATGGCACCAAAATGATATCACATGGGTAGCACTTAAGGACATAGGGTTTAGAATATAATGTTATTTGGTGTTATGAGAAAAGTAATCTACATAACTGTAAATATATGGTCTCATTTTCATAAAGATAAATATATGTGTACATGTACAAAAAATCTGGTTGAATAAAGAAAAGACTATTGCTAAGGAAAATTAACAGTGTTTTTTTCTTCTTTTAGCCTTTTATTGTGCTTTCTCATTTATGCCATGAGAAAAATACATTTTTTAAAGAAGAGAGTGGTAAAAAGAAAACTGTATATTCAGAGTGAACACTGTATCTCACTTTTAAAATCTGAACAAAATCTAAGGGTAAAAATGATAGTTCACTTCCACTCTGAAATAAATGGCTACATTTCCACTGACAGAAATTGTTAACAGGGCCTATACATAAAGGAAACTACTTTGCACCAGAAAAACTGCAATTGAGACCATAGGCACCAACAAGAACGTGTTCTCACATAAGCCAATTAAAGACACAGGTGTTAATAGCTAAAATTAGGAGCTACAGATTTTGTTTCCAAACCAAATTTAAATAGTTTGGTTTGCTCTGTGTGGTTATTCTTAAGTGAAAAATACACGCCAAAAAACAAATGTGACAGAACCTCCCTGAGACCCTTGACTGCCTTGTGGAATATCTGGTACATAATAGGTGCTTCATAATTACTTAAGGAGTAAATGAATAAATAAACTTACTTCATGCTGGAGAATCTTACTTAGCAGAAGAAGGAAGATAGATATGGAAAAGATATATTATGCAATACACAGTTAATAGAGAAAAGGTTTAAAAAACCACAATCATGCCAAAGACTTGATACATATATACAAGGTATATATGAAAGATGTACTGCAGGAACTTGGTAATATCATATGATTTAATAAATTAACATTTGCCATCTAAATGATTTTTCGATTACCCTTTGTTCTGAAAATACAGATTTCCATATATATTACACCAATATCAGTGTTAAGAAGAAAGTAATATCACAGAACATTGTGCAAATAAAATGTCTTAACTTCTTACTGTTCTTTTTTTCCCTAATACTCATAACCCAAAAGAAGAGAGAAAAATCCAAAGGTTCTAACATCTCTAGATAATCAGATAGCTGTTTATGTAGTTATGTACCAGCAACCCTTATGAAGACATGGATGTGACTTGTTCTTAGATCATTTACTTATTGCTTTTTTCTTAAAACTACAAAAAAAGATAACATGAAATTAAATTAATATAAACAAGTAAAAATATTTTTTATATATCCTTTGCCAAAAGTCTGAATTAGTGGTTTGAAGATCTCACATACTATTTTCAAGTTAGTTGTAGTGTCTCTTTTTGGACCAGGAAAGGTTAAAAAAATATTGGAGTACTCACTGAATTATTGATGATTAATTTACAAGGTAATTCAGTTCTATTAAGAGTAAGTTAGGCTCATGTTTGCTTCTAAAGGAGAGATACTTAGTGATCTGTACATCACAGTCTAAAAAAATGCTCTGTCCTTCACAAAGAAAATACTATGGAATCCCTTTCATTACGATATTTATATTATTTAGTATTTCCATTCAAAAGTGGTAACAGATTTTCTCTTATCTACCAAACCCCTTCCCATCCTCATTCTTCCTACATACCAACACAGTCTGCATGTCGTATGGAAAGCCCTATACTCAGGCCAGCTCTTCCCAGGTGTGAAGTGAGAAACTGCTCTGCGCCTATTACATGTTTGTTCTTTGTTATTAACCAGTAGTAATTTCTTAACTAGCTTTAAGAATATTATTATAAAAATAATACATCCTCATGACAAAAAATTCCAGCAGTACTCAAAGTGGAAAGTAAGGCTCCCTCCTAATTCTCAGAACAAACCACTGACAACTATACATACACTATGACCATTTTTCTGGATTAGTACATATGGTCTTGACTCATTTTTAATAATGCTGACTAGCATTTACTGTATAAATATAGCAATATTTATTAAACAGGTTTCCTATTGGTACATATTTAGGTCCTTTCCAGTTTAAAAAAAATTGTTAATACTAATTACATTGATGAACTTCTTATATACTGTTCTGCATTTTCCTCTAGTATATCTTAATAAGAATTTTTAGAAGTTCAACTCCTAAGTGAAAGAGTGTATAAATATTTTTGATAGTTACTACTAAATGTTCTGCAAAAATCTGCAACTAATGATCAACTTCACCAATATTGTTGAAAGGTTCTGATTTCTTCTGCCCCTCAAATTTTTTCCTCATCCCATGGGCAAAAGACTGGATCTCTTTCAGTATATGATTAATTAATTTATCTGATCTAATAAATTAATATTTCTTTGTGAGTGAAGGTGAATTATTTTAATATATTTATAATCATTTTTATTCTTTCTGTGTGAACTGCTTCTTTATTTATTTAATGGTTTCTTGGGAAGGCATGATCTCAAAAGCTGGGAGATGCTATATGTGATTCCTCTATTGCCATCATTCTTGTGTCAATCAGGAAACACACTGTAAAACAAGTGAGAGAAGTGATATTATGAAAGGTATAACCCTGCATCTATTCTAATTCATTATTGTTCTTAAAATAAAGAACACCCAAACATTGGTCCTTTATCATTAGCAACAGATTTCTACTGATATGCTTCACAAGGGATCTCAATGTTCCACCCAGATTAGTTTAAAGAATAAACTATATTATGTAAGATAATACCAATGGTTAAAAAAACTTTTAACTTTTTAACTGTTCCAGACTGCATAGCTTTTTCACAAACCACTTTTATCTAAATACTTAAAAACATATACTAGGGAGATGGGAGCCAAGATGGTAGTGTGAGTAGGACAGTGGAAATCTCCTCCCAAAAACATATATATTTTTGAAAATACAACAAATACAACTATTCCTAAAAGAGAGACCAGAAGATACAGTACAACAGCCAGGCTACATCTACACCTGTAAGAACCCAGCGCCTCATGAAGGAGGTAAGATACAAGCCGTGGCCTGGCGGGACCCGAGCACCCCTCATCACAGCTCCCGGCGGGAGGAAAGGAGTCAGAGCGGGGAGGGAGAGGGAGACCAGGACTGCTAATCACCCAGCCCTAGCCATCCACACCGGAGTGCAGACACACAGTGTGTGGTGTGCTGGATACTAGGGAAACAGGATAGTAAAATCTGCGAGTGGGTTCCCACAGTCAGCGCCCCTGGGACAAAAGAAAAGTGAGTGCTTTTTGAAAGTCTTAAAGGGACAGGGACCACACAACTGGACAGAAGTGTCCCGACACACTCAGCCCAGCTGTTGGGAATCCCAGGGAACTCCGGGTGCCCTAATCCCCTGGGCAGCAGTGCAGCTCTGACGCCCCTCACGGCAATAAACAGCCTCCCGTCCGTTCCTCCTCTGGGGCCGCCCGCCATACTGGAGGAGCAGCCTGAGGCTGGCCACACCCACAGCAACTGCGGAACCCAGCACAAGCCACTAGGGGCCACCATTCTCCCAAGAAAGGAAGGCCAGGAGCAAGTGGAAAGGGTCTTGGTTCTCCCAGCTGACATACGCGCCAACTGTTTATGACTACCTCTATCGACATGAAAAGGCAGAAGAATTTGATACAGACCAGAATCACACAGACATCCTCCCCTGA